TGCAGCATTTAGGAGGTATTTTGGCCAATTCCTTTGTTTAAAAATGTTAATGTGGAACTACAATGTATTGTTTGTATTGTATTGTTTGCACAACAAACCAAAAGAGGTATTTATTTCATTTTTAATATTCAAACCAAACTCATCCGTTCATGTCTTTATGCTTTATTTTGCTGAGAAACCTCCTCCCTAGCATTTCTGGTCATGGCCATCTTGAGTAAGGGCAGATGATTCATGTAGCAATTACTTACTGGCATCCATCTGCCCTTAGCTTAGGCATGCAGGTAGGAGGGTGTGCTTAGCTTAGAAAATCCCTTCTCCGCTTCTGAAAACTCCTGGGATTTATGACATAATTTGCCTGGGTATATAAACTTGAAAGTAACTAAAGAAATGTAAAAAAAAAACAAGTAAATATGATATACCTTCCTATCTATTTACTAATGCTAGCAACATAATGATTCAAAATGTTGATTGAGAGAGTGAAGTTCCACTTCAAACCTCTCACCATTTTTTGGGATGGCTTCCTTGAGCTACCTGCTTCTGAAATGTCACAGCTTTTAATGCAATTGAGGCCAAGGCTAGTAATAAAACTACAGGATTTTTTTCAGCTGAAGTGTTGTTTATTTATCCATACATTTTTGATCTACAGGCCTGATTAAGCAAACTGCCATAGCGTTTATGGCATGCTAATACTGGCCTCTCAAGAGATATAAAAACCACTCCAGTGATCACATCACTGAAAAGAAAAAAAGTTTCTGGAATGGTTAATGTGTAATAGTGGCTTTGTATGTATGGAGTTTTTTTAGATTTTTTTTTTATGGCAAGAGCTAAAAAAATAAACATTTTAAAATATATTTGGTTTTTAGACAGGTAAGTATTAAATAAAAATATTGAGCATTTTCATTATCAGCAGGCAGGTGGAGAGCCAGGCTCCATTTTACATGGAATTTGGGCAATGCTTATCTTAAGATGGCTTAAAAAGTTAAGCTGAGATTGACACCCACATCTAAATGAGTCAGGGCAGTGACTTCTCATTTCCTTTGTATCTGATAGGAAGTTTCATTTAGAAGTATGGAATTGGAAGGCAAACAGATTCTTCTGAACTCTTTTGAAAACCCATAATGCAATCCAAATCATTTGTCATAGGTTCACCTTTTAATAAATGTTTATTCCCAAATAAAGGTTGTATATAAGCAGAAAAAACATATAAAACATCAGTTTAAAATGTTAAAACATTCAATATAAAATAAAATTGTTCCAAAATGATTACAGCTCCCTTCAATGCCCGAGATTTTCAAGGGAAATGTTTCAGACCCCCTCTAATACCTGGGACTATCCCCTTGGGATTGTAACACCTGATTCACAAAGTATTGCGAATTTTTCCACTTGGAGAAAAAGCCAATTTAGGGTGTTCAGGTTACTGTGTATTGTGCTATGGCAAAGTCTAAAGTGCTTCTTTTTTTATTATAGGAACACTGCTTGACTTAAAAGAAGAAGCAAAAAAAAAAAAAAACCTACAAAAAATGACATCTAGAGATGTCTTACAAAAGAGCTATTTTTTAAGATTACCTTTTAATCCTTCCTTGTCCTGATCCCTGGTACGGGCACTTTAGTAGGGACTCCTTAAAAAAATGTAATATTATATGTGCTTTTAAACTATAATGAACAATGTAATTGATTGTTTATCCCTGATTAATAGAGGTTGAATATCTATCTGTAATAACAAACCGAATTCCAACTTTAAGTCAGCTCAGGCTCAATAAGTGCCAACATGGAAATGTGATTAATAGGAAGCAGATACTATAGCAGTAATGAGATTTTATATTCTATATCCTTGTTGCATAAGCTGTAAAATTCTTCTCCTTAGCAATATGCAAATCCTGACCCTGGCACTGGTCAAAAATTAACCAACCCATTCTTTGCTTTATTCAGTCTTCCTAAAGGTAACCTACACATTGCAGTGCTCTTACCTGTCTGTTTATACATGATGCTGAACAGGATGTTATGTGCATGTGTGGGATCTCCTGTCCATGGGAGTGGCAAGATGGCAGTATCTATACCCAACACTAACCCATGTGCTTGGATGGTCAGGGGCTTTACAGAACGGTATAGTTCTTGATTAAATAGGTTAGATTATGGAGGCTGGAGCTGCTGTTGATAAAATTTAGTATTGGTAAGTCACACTACAATGTTGCTTTAATAAGAAAAGAATGTAGTAACAATTCTAGTAACAGTAACCTTGTTTAGATTGCCAGGAGTAGATGTTCTAGCATCATCATCACCACCACCATCATCAAAGTTTTAAAGAGCTAGTTCTGTACTGCTGGATAAGGTACACATAGTAAACAAAAATTAAGCAAAGGGTTATTTTTAAGCATTTTAGTGATGCCACTTCTAATATAGATGATAACAATTTAACAAAAAGTAATTTATCTATGTAAAAAATTGTGTATATTATTTGTATCATGCAAGGTTTTTCATTCACAGGTCTCTTTTTGACAAACTCTTAATTCACCAAGAATTATTCAAAAACCCGCACACAAGGAAGGAGAATGGTCCATATCTAAATATAATAAAATGTGATACAGTTTTAGGAATGTTACTTTTATAATTACAGAAATTTCATCATCTTTAAAGCCACAGTTAACATTCTGAATAAAATTGGCCATACCTCCAAATGCAATGGTTTTATGGTCCTAGTTTATTATGTATGAATATAAATTTAATTAATGTATTAGGTTTGCAGAAGAGTGAAGAATATTTTTTTTTTCTCGAATACTTTCAATCCAATGTGTTTTAAATCCAATGTATAAAATAATTGCTAGTTTGTCAAACCAAATGCTTAGTAATTCACCCTTACAATTTTTGTTTTTGCATAACTCGGCTCTAAAAGCATTGTATACAAAGATATGAATAGTTATTGTTTATTTGTAGCAGAAATTGATTGCATTCAAGAAGACATGCGCTATGGGGTTGCCAGATTTAAAAATGAATAATTGAAAAATAGTATAGCAGTGGTTTAGAGCTAGTTAAAAATAATCTTAAAAATAGCAAAATACAAAGTAGTTGAAATGCCACAAAGAAAATCATATTAGTTCAGATCCAGTATTTAACAGTTCTAGAAAGTCATCTAAAAATGGTAACAGGATAAAAAAAACACTTTCCTGGTAAACCTGATGATACTTTTTCTCAATTGTCACTAAAAGGCTATAACCCACATCTGGCTTATGGAAGTCTTCAGCCAGAGACCAGAGATAATTATTAATGTAACTTGTCAGATTTTTTATTAAAAATACAATTGAATGTAATTGCAATAATAACCAATGGTTTTATTGTTATAAAAAAAAATAACAATATCAATACAAGTCAATACAACCCCGTTTTCCTGAATGGTTCAAATAAAAAAAAAAAATATTAAAAAAATTCTGTGCATTTTGAAAATGAATTTATTTTCACAGCTCAAAAAAAAAAGGGGGGGGGGGGTCTGTCTTTATATTTTTACCTTTCATTGTGTAAGTACTACACTTAATGAGGATTCACCACTGTCTCAGCTTTTACTTTGGCAAGATCAAACCCTTCTCCTGTTCTGTGCTTCTGTCACAGATCTGTCTTAAGTGATAGGTGGCCGTCCATCTGGTTTTGTAATGTTGACAGTGGAGAGGCATTTGCCGAAAAAAAAAAAAAAAAAAAAGTAGGCTTGCTCTGAGCTTATAAAAAGGTCAAAAGAACAGTATGTAGAATTGAATCATGAGATATCAAAATCTTTGTATAAAAATTTCATCTTCGACTTATTTGATCACGTTGCTTAGATCCTTATTTCTGGAACAATTCCTATCGCTGACCGCCCCCTACCGATTGCCAGTGGGGAATATTTTAATTCCTAGCTGCAACCCAATCTATATTTCTGCATTGCTTGGAAAAAAAATATATATTGGCCTTTTGTAAAGGCTGTTTTCATCTTTGTTGTAGGTTTGAATATGGTACCATGTGGTCTATGTGTGTCCCACTTTTATTATTATTCTAAAAAAAAGTTATAATAAAAAGGTCACTTTGCTAGGTATTAGACCATATATGGTAAATTTAATATGTCTGTTAAATAAGAGAACTTCTGAAAAGGTGGTTTTTGTGGAAGCCCCATTGCTCTGTGTTTGATGCCCCACAAGACACAATGTCCACATTTTATGTTATGAGCTTTTAAACACAACCTGAGTTTTAAGAAAGTAAATCTGTCTGTAGTATCCAGTTAATAGTTTTTTAAAAGGCATAGACATGAACAAAAAAATGAACAGAACCAACCAATAATTGTATAAACACAGTTTTCTTAAGAACTAGAAGATTAGAGCAGGTGATGATGGATAACCACATTTCCTATATTTTACCTATATATTTTTTTATGGATAGACTAGAGAAGAGTTATATTGACCCTTTAGACCTCAACTTCCATTATGCTTGGTCATGTCCATCAGTCATAAATCTTAAAAGCTTGTTTACTCCAGAGCCTGCTGGTAGGACCCACAGTAGTACCAGAGTCTTCCAGTACATTTTACATATTGGCATCCTTCTGTTTTCTTACTGTACAAAAAGAATAGGTAGTCAACTATTTTTTGAGCTTTCTAACCATCTTGTATGTTGTGTAAGTATTGGTTTGGTTTTGTTCTAATAATTGTCAAGTATACCCGTGTCATAATTGTGTGCACCATCAGAGCCATTTTTATAATGCGCAAACTTAGTAATGTAATTGCATATTTACATATCCTGGCTGATGGAGGGACCTACAGGAGCTGTTTAACAAATAAATTATGATTGCAAGTTAACAAATACCAACAAAGACAATCTTTTTCCTTACTTTTTCCCAGATCCTCCAACTTTTTTTTTTTTAGTTTATCTGCAGCAAATATAGGGAAAATAGGAAAACTTTACCACAGCCTTTTTTTTTTAGCAGGATTAATCTCTGACAAGTTTGCCTCAACAATACACAAATTCTTGTTGTTTGTGATGCACAGGTGTGAAATTGAGGAAACACTGGAGAGGCTGAAAAAGCTGGAACGAGACTTGAGCTTTAAGGAGCAAGAACTGAAAGAACGGGAGAAGCACTTAAAAATGTGGGAGCAGAAGCTCACTGAACAGTCGCACACACCGGTAGGTACATTTACCTATAACTGGTAAGTACTCTATGATATCATTTGGTCTGTGCCACAAAAACTCTTACACGTAGGGCAACTAAACCAGTAGTTCGGTAGCATACGAACACTCTTTGGTTTGTTTAGATGCACTGACACACGCTGGAACTGACATGGACAAATAGTTGGTAGAATTTTTTTTCTTTTTAAATTAGAAATAACAAGTGCATCAAGAAACTTTTTCTGATTGAGGGTGTTCTTAGACATTAGATGACTTTGATCTTTTGCAAAGTAACAGGTCTGCTGCATAACAGTTATGGTAGCTAACCTCCAGTTACATTTCACACATTCTCGCCTTGCCAGAACCCCCCAAAATCATTCTGTAATTTTCGATCATATACTACAGTGGATTTCAAACTATTGCCTGGGGGCCAGATGTGGCTCTTTGCTTGCCTTTATTTGGCCCTTGGAGCACTATTCCATCAACTGATACCAATGATGGAGCACCATATCCCCTACTGACACCATCAATGGGGCACTATTCTTCTCACTGATATCAACAATGGGGCACTATTCCTCCCGTTATAACCAACAATGGGGCGCTGATGTCAGGGCATTTTCTACTCCCACTGGCCACAGTCCAGCCCCCCTAAAGCCTGGAGGAGAGTAAAATGGCCCTTTGCTTTGAAAGTTTGGAGACCCCTGATATACTAGATCTAAGCTCACACAGGGCTAAAGACCTCTGGTCCTCTGATTAAGGCTCTGATGTACAACTGACTATGGCAGGGGAGTATGTGAAAAGTAAGTACAGGCTCAATACTGCACCTATTATTCAGTGAACCTTTTACTCTGGATTGAGTTTTAAAAGTACAGGTTCCCTTTAAAGGGTATTTCCACTTTTGCAGGCACATTAGGATAATACCTACTTTATATTTTTTTACATTTTCCTATTCAGATAGCAAAACCTAAAACAAAAAATAAAATTAAAAAAAATTGCCACTTACCTTTTGATATGCTCTTTTTTTTTTTTCAAAATTTCCAACAAGATAAAATTCTGCTTAGTATTGTTATGAGGGTGCCAGGAAGCTGTTACAATAGGTAGCCCTATCTGGAGGCAGATATCTCATCAGTTGCGTTCGATTTCTTGTTCAATGATTTTGAGGTTTTCAAGAATAGTAACATAGAAATCAGTAAGCCCGTGCAGGGGCAATGACATTAATTGACAACATATCATCAATGAAACAGGAAGAAATAATGGAAAAATGAATGCTTTTAGATGGTAAATTATATAACCATTTAACAAGATCATAAGGAGCAGATATGTTGAGTTATCTCAAGATGTAAGCTCTTCTATCTAGTAGAGATGGTGAATATGTTGGGATAGAATAAGAGGGTAAAAGAGGTATGAGAGAAAGGGAAGGGAGGGGGGTTAGGGAAAAAGTCCCTGCAGACTTAAGATCCCATCAAGGCTGGAGGCTAAAGGTATGATTGGCTTGCCGGGCTTACAGAAGAAGGCATGGAATAGATAAGCCATGGTTCCCATGTGGGTAGAAACTTCAGTTGGGAGTCATTAAGGATGCAAGACATTTTTTGATTGATGATCATTAAAGTCATACGGTCCCTTGCTTCTTGTAAGGAAACTGAGGACTTCTTCCAGGCTAGTTGCACTAGATTTGAACACTGTGTGGGTTTATTTACTAAACCTGGAGAGTGCAAGTCAAGCTCACTTCTGCACAGAAACCAATCAGCTTCCAGGTTTTATTGCCATTGCTTCATTGAACAAGCTGAGGTTAGAAGCTGATTGGTTTCTATGCGGAAGTGAGCCTGATTTTGCACTCTCATGGTTAGTAAATAAACCCCTGTCTTTCTTTACAAAAGATTAAATGTTTAAGCACTGGGTTTCTCCATTAATGCGAATTGGACTCAGTCAGTCCCCAGCCCAGCTATTGGGATGGATAATGCTAAGCTAGCTGAGAAATGCCTGCATTTAGCCATGACACCTTCGCCTCAACAATAACTAAAAGGGAAGAAATATATATTTTTTTTTAATTTCTTAGGTAATCTGTATGAGTACAAACATATAACAAACATACCACAGGGTTTTCTCAAATTTGACAGCAAAAGTGGAAATACACTTTAAGTGTTTGTGAGAATTTGTATAACTTCTGACCATACTTGAGCAAAACCACCATGTAAGTTTTGTTCTGCCAAGCTTAAATTCATCTTTCCCTCTTAGAGTTACTAAACCGAGTACCCTGCCTTCACTTTATCTGGTCTCCCACAGTACACAGAACATGGAAATGCAAATTTTTTAGTAAATATAAAACTGCTAAATACCTTTTCTCATTTGCAGTGAGAGCAGTATTGTGACTTCTATCAGTGTCCAGCAGAGCACTGGTTTAAAGCTTGTTGAAGGAGTTTTCGTTCTTCCCTGACCTATGAGGCTGCATGACCCCTGACCCTCTGTCTGGACAGTGCTGATTGGCCCTGTGCTGATCACATGTTCTCTCCCAAGGGAAAAAAAAACTATTTAGCACTACACACCAAACTGAGCATGTGCAGAGTGTCTCCACATATGTCTTATCAGGAGATAAGAGGGGGAAACTGGAAGAAGGGGAGGAACAGAGAAGTCAGGATCAAACAGTGTTTTTACATAATGCAGAGGATTAACCCCTTAGGTTCCACAGTGTGTATAACAAGCACGCTTTACTGCATATACAGACTGATTTTACTGTTGTCTGGAGTTTTAGTAACACTTTCTAAACGAAAATAGTTTAGTAACACTTTAAAAGAAAATAGGGTAAAGAAGAGTGGATAATGCTGATGTTGTCCTATTGGCAAGATAGACTAAATCAGTAGGGTGAGGTTTTGTACCTTTCCTGATCAATTATTCCCATTGACAGCAATCACCCACAGACATAAGATTGTCACCCAAACCAACCACCTTTTCATAGGTCATCTCATGTCTATGAGTACCTTTAAAACTATGGATAGCCGAAAGGTTCATACATATAGATTTGTCTTCATTTTATGTTCATTTCCTATTTATCATAAAATCCAACATTATTAACCTGTATTGTACAAAGGGCCTTTACTGACTATTCATTCTCCTTTTCTTTTTTTTTTTTTATTATCGCATAATTTTATTAATCCACTATTTATTTCTAGTTAAAGCATGGGATTATTTCATCATTATTTTATTTATACTATATTTTGTCATCAACTATGGCTTTTGCAAAACTATATTTTGTTGTATAGCAAGAATCTTTTGTTAAAGTATCAGTTGGGTAATCCTTACACATATATAAATCAAGTGGCCCTAGATAATGAATGCATGTATGTTATCTCACAATGGATTGTTCTCACCAAGGTGTCATTGTCTGACAATGCATGGCTTTATTAAACACAAGGACACTCAATATTTTCTACAATACAGTTGTACGTTTTGAAACCCGTTGAGCTGAAGTACCTAAATATGATACTGCAAGCTGTATTATTATTTTTTTTTTTAATTGATAATTTAACCAAAACACGCATGGCACCTAAGTAAATCACAAACTTAAGTCATTTTGCAAGGACTTTATTTGTAATACAATTAGTATTGGCAAAACTGCTCTAGCCCACATCTTCCCTCTTGATTAGAAATTTTCTTCATTTTTACATACCCCAGATAATGCATATACTCTACCATTACAGCTGTGGGGTGCAAGGAGCCACAGTTTTTTTTTTTTTTTTTTTTAACATGTTCCACTATGGTTTTCTACCCCACTGTCTCACACATGCATAGCCTTGTCCCATAAAAATGAATGGACCAGAGAGAGGAAGTTGTAAACAAAACCTCCGCTCAGTGCAGAGTAAGCTTATCTCTGGAGTATTTTTCATTACACAGAAGTTTTTGTTTTTTTTTTGCTTTCAAAAATTTTTATTAGAAAAGGTCATCATATAGTCATCCAAAAGAAAAGAAAGAAAAGCATTATACATAAATAACCAGGCACTAACGCGACATTAACCCAGTAAGACAGTATAACATTACTCCTGAATGACACAGTAAGAAAACAAACCAAGTAGGTCATGAATCTACCCCATGTAACCAATATGGGATCATGGAGATCAAAATTAGGATCCCACCACGCCCCAAGGGACTTCAACAGTGCTAAGGTGTACAGTGATCCTCATCACTATTACAAAATAGGAAAAAAAAAAGTTTACTAAAAAAAAGGGAGCACAGAAAGAAAAGGAAGAGGAGAAAGAGGAAGGATCCCATGGAATGTACAGTCAGTTTACCATATAGCCCAAAGAGTGGAAGTTAATCAGTCAGTATGCATAAAAGGTGCCCATAGGCTCCAAACTTCTTCAAAGTGGCTATTCATGTCCCGAATGATACTCCATTTTCTCATGGGACATAATCCAGGCAACTTTTTGCCATACTTGAGAGATGGAAACTGAGGTCTTCTTCCATGATCTAGCAATAGTTAATTTAGCCGCCAGGAAAATAAAGAAGGCCGAAGTCTTTGTTTTTTACCTTCATAACATAGCTTTATCCCTTGTTGATGCTGCTAGTAGATCCACTCATTTTTTTCCATTTCCTTTAACAGAGTGACAACATTGTTCGATCTGCAGTGAAATGCACATCTGCATTGTCACACTGTGGACGGGGTGTACTTAATTATGCATGTTATTTCAGACAAGCTTTAAACAAGCAACAATCTAAAGTCCAACTCTAGCTAATGCTTTTCAAGAAGTTACAGGAACAGGTTTTTTTCTTTTAGAAAAAAGGTTTAAACTAAATGTATAAGCTGATCTTTGTAAAGACAAATTAAACAAAAACAAACTATAAATAAAAGAGGAATTCATACACTAAATACTGTCATTGCAGGTATTACTACTTGGTTGTCAGAATACAATATTTTTGGTATTTTATCAGGTAGCAGATTTTTGATGGGGGCAAGGTTAGGCTGGGGCAGGTTTATTACAGCTAACTAATTCTTATACCCCTGCTCTCTCATGTAACAACAACGT